GGGACCGCTGATCCCCTATCGCCACCCTCTGTCCCCGGCCTTGGAGAAAAGAGACCAACCATTGAAGGACAGGCCCCGAATCCCCACGTCGGCAAGGCGGCGGGCCAGCAACTGATGGGTCGACCATATCAAAAGCAGCTGACAGATCTAACAACAGTGCCGCCACACCGCCTCGGTCCAGATGCCTACGGAGGTCGTCAGTCAATGTGACCAGTACAGTCTCCACCCTGTGACCCGGGCGAAACCCGGACTGGTGGGGATCGAGGACTGGACACCACAGCAATTTTTTAGTAAAGGACTAAGTAAAGTATCTAATTGCTGGCACTGTATCTACAAGACATTTCTCTTAAATATATGCTTTGGGCCTGTCCAGTTATTTGGTCTTTGGGGGAAGAAGAAATTAGTCATATCAATTTTGTATTAGAATATTCATTAATCTTTGGAGACACTTATGTGCTTTTAAACTATTTGCTCATCTCCTGCTTTCTCCATGCCCTTACTGTTGCTGAAAGACTTAATTACTACACTGGAAAAATTGCCTCCAATAATGCACTAGATTGAGGACTTCAACTTCATCAACATTTGGATGTATGGCATATAAATGATAAGAGCTCATGGACATATTTTTTGGTATCTGAAAATCTTTCACACATGCTGTCAAGGCTGTGCCTGCCTTGTGCAGTAACGTAACCAAGCTCAACCTGGTTTGGTTTTGGGGTATCTTTTTGAAACTTGGAGATTTTTTTTAGGAGAGGCACCAGCAGCTATGCTGAAAATATGGTGCCTCTACCTCAAAAAACAGTCCCCACAGAGCCCCAGATATCCTATGGGGATCATTCACTATTATGGTCCCCGTAGGGGTATAATGGAGCAGGAAAATTTTTTAGGAATCCCAAATATTCACTGAAACCAAATACCATACCAGTTTTGAGAATACTGGAAAATAGCTATATTTTTCGGATTCAATATACCTGACCCTGAAAAATACCGTTTTTGGGTTGTTTGTTTTTTGCAAACCCATAGATTGGTTCAAGTCACTCCTCAGTAACTCACAAACAATTAAACAAAAAAGCTTTATTAAAGAAATTCAAAAAAGTTAAAAAAACCAGATTATATAGTTCAGTAGCAGTCTTACTGCTCAGGAAAATAACAAAGCTAACTAGCTGACTACTTACTTTATTCTGGGAGCAGCAATACTAGTTCTTACGCTAAAGCATTATGTTTCAGAACATATAACAAGCATCTTCAGACAGCAAGTGTTGGTAGGCTGCATTATATAGAAACTGCCAGCCATAACCTCCTGACCTTCCCCAACCAATCGCAGGGCTGTCACCAATGAATTTTCTGGACAGGATTGAGTCCTGTTCCCGCCATACCAGATTCACTGCTGAACTGTGTATGCTAATTACCAGGCCTTTGAAAGGTTCTAGCCCAGTAACCATCAGTTGGGGTGGGGTTGGTTGACACCTGCAAAGCAGTCAGAGTATAGTGAATGAGAGTTTAGCTGGAATTTTCCTCTAAGATGGCTTCTCTCTTGAAAGATGCTTACCTGTAAACCTGTCACCATTGCTGTTATATTTTGTTATATTTTTATTTCTTTATGGTTTGGGCAATTAAAAAAAATCTTTTGCATACCTAGAGGCTCCTCAGAGTATGTAAGCCTCATTGTGCTTGTAGATTGCCTCATTGTATTGCTCTATAAATAGATACTCAACCATGGACTTCAACATGAGAGGGAACAAGCTGGAAACCTGAATTACCTTCAAAATTCTAAAAGATCCCAGGAGCTTCCGCTGACTGCTTTCTCCATGTCTCCTGTTTACCTCCTTTAACTGCTTTCAACATTCCATGCTTTCTGGAGCATGCTCAGCCCTCATCAGGTCATTTTGCTATTTTCCTTTTTCATTTTTGTTAATTTATAAAGTCATTTGCCCCTCCATATTTGAGGATCTTCTCAGGTTCTGCATATCTAGGAAGTATTTAGAAATCCCCTTTTTTACCTGTGGGAGGCCTGGCTTTGCTGTTTTCATGGCTGGCATGAGCTATCCATTTTCTTATTAGATAGTAACAATGTTCTACACTGCTAGTTGAATACTACATCACTTGCTGTAATTTGCATTTTCCTGATTTATAGACATGGGTCTTAATATGGAGTTTTATACAAGCAAAGTATGTGGTCTGTTGTTATGGCTAATCTCACATTTGTAATTTAAAATAATGTTGATGTATATACATTTAGCAAACTAATTTAATAACTGAATTAGTTAACCCAGTGACATTAATCATGTATATGACATTACAAATACTGTCACTCTGAATAAGGTATTCACAATTACCTTTGAATATAACAAGTATAAGAGAACAAACACAACATTGTGTATGAACAATATCCTGACTTCCATCAGGGATGCTGCATAGCAACTTCAGTCTTCTTTGGTGGTCATCCATCCATAGGGCTGCCAAGTGGGAGCGGGGGGCGGGTAAACCCCCGCTTTGGAGGCCCAATTTCCACCGCCGCGGAATCGTGCCCCGGGGAGAACCCCGCCCCCCGAAGCGCAGCGTAGGTGCGTCACAGGAAGTGACGCAACCACGTAGAGCACGTTGGGGGCGTGGCCCCAACCGTTGGAGGGAAAACTCTATGGTTTTCCCTCCAACGATTGGGGCCACGCCCCCAACGTGCTCTATGTCGTGCGTCACTTCCTGTGACGTTCTGGAGGCACGCACGCGCATACCGCAGCAGCTCCCGGACCGAAGGAACGCTCCCCCGCCGGTGAGTAAAAACAACTTGGCAACCCTATCCATCCAAGTACTTTAAAAGTGATTGCACCGCTTTGGAACAGTGACCATAATGTTACTGAGTTCAACATTTGTATAAATAGAGAATTGCCCAAAAAGACCAACACAACAACTTTTAACTTTAAAAGAGGTAACTTCTCTGAAATGAGGGGACATGTGAGGAGGAAACTGAAAGGAAAAGTAGAAAGGGTCAAAACCACTGGGGAAACCTGGAGACTATTTAAAACTACCATCCTAGAAACTCAGAAAAAATACATACTGCAGGTTAGGAAAGGCACAAATAGGTATAGAAAAAGGCCTGAATATAACAAGTATAAGAGAATAAACACAACACTGTGTATGAACAATATCCTGATTTCCATCAGGGATGCTGCATAGCAACCCCAGTCTTCTTGGTGCTTGGGGGGGGGGGCGCAACAGTGGGAAGGCTTCTAGTGTCCTGGCCCCACTGCTGGACCTCCTGATGGCACCTGGTATTGTTGGCCACTGTGTGACAGAGTGTTGGACTGGATGGGTCATTGGCCTGATCCAACATTGGCTTCTCTTATGTTCTTACTGACTGTGGCCAACCCCGCTTAGCACCAAAGTGCTAACCTGGGCTATTTGGGCTGCTAACTTTGCTATAAATAATGAATAAATATCTTCAATACACAATCTGCCTAAGGTTGCCAAGCTGTGGGTTGAAGACCACTATAGCAAGATATGCATACTTAAGTTACATTTACCATGGCCATTTCTTCGCCCAATTTCATCTTTTTTAAAGACACTTCCACCGCTTGGAATACATTTTTCTGCCCATTCATCTTTCAGCTTCAGCTCTTCAATTTGTTCATCTGTCAGACCTTGCATGTTAGGAGGTAATAAAATACCATGTTCTGCCAGCATTTCCATTTCTTTAAAAAAAGAAGATTAAAAAAATGGAATAAGAATGTAGTTTCCTGTCAGACACTTCTGAACATTTGAGAAGTTTCTGTACTCCTAAACTGGATCCAAAGCACTACAAGCAGGGCTCTACATACAGGGCAGAACTTTCCCACCTCTTTCTAGAGCCTACCATGCCCCTCCTCCCCATAAATACTGCTTCTGGGATTCCGGGGACCTTCCAGTTACAGTGTGGGGTCTGCTGTGGAAGGTTCTGTCATGGGAAGAGAAAATCAGTAAAGATGATTTAAGGGTTCATCCACTCGCAGAAAACAAATATTATTACTTAGAAACCAAGTAGTCTTATAGCATCAGGACATAAATTTGTAATATCACAATCATGCTTAAAAATTATTATTTACACCTCTGTTTTGAATCTTGCACAGGAAATTTAGGAACTTCAAAAAGATTTCACTTGAAATACAATGGTGGTTTATTCTAAAGTGAAAGAAACTTCAAGTGATCAGCATAACACTGCAGCTCAAGTGGCTGCTTGCAGAACTTTAGCTGAATGTCCCTGTGCACATGAAGACCTTCCAAGTAAAAAACACACCAATCAACCAAGAACAAAACTAAACAACCCTGATTGTCATCTGCACTGCACATCTGCAATTCATGAAGGCTCAAAGGAGTCAGAGAATTCTATGTAAGGATGCCAGTTAGTTTCCATCACTACCTCCTTCACATTGCCTCAAACACACGGCACAAGGCCTTTTGTGGCACAATTTGGCCACAGAGTCTAAGTAATGCCACAGGAAACTACTGCACTAGGGCCAGAATTTGAATGATGGCACCAGCATTACAGGGAGAGTTATCACCAGCATCCAGAAGCCTTACCTAAATCCTATGTACTGCAACTTCAGCACAGGAACTCATATGAAAAGAGTTTCAATTACAAACAAGGAGGCAGCAAACTTATAGTTAGTATTAAGACAGTTGTGTTCCTCAGGACTGTTAGTGAAAAACAGAAAGTCAACTATTTAGTAAATGGATACGCTTGGTACCTGCACAAACACGTTGAACTTTGAGCCTCCCATTGTAGATCCTTGTCACTACTAATGTTAAATCTTCAATGGAAGTGCTGCCTGTTGTTTCCAGCAAAAACTGGCTCTCATCGCCATGCTTCACATGGAGCAGAACCATTTCTGCAAATGACACCACAAAAGATGGTAAGGATTAATAAAGAAATTCTGTTACCATATATTGAAAAATTATTTACTTATTTACTTAATTTGCAGTCCACCTTTCTCACTGAGAGTCAAAGAGGATTACATGATATAAAATAATGCAATCAAATACCACAAGAGATCTAATAAGCAATGCAATAGGACTAGGTTTACTTAATTAGAAAGAGTGCAAAAAATCAGACATATGTCAAGTGATGCAGAAAATGGAATTACAGAAGGAGAAAGTAGTACAATAAGAATGGGGTAATACATAAAACAAATATGTAATATATAGCATTAAGATGCTAAAACAGTAATATTAGCAAGGTTTTAAGGAAAATATCCAGAATTATATTAATAAAATAATCCTCAGGAAAGGAGCAGGCCATAAAGCACCTAAAAAAGAACCCTCTATTTAAGTCTGTGTAAATGCCTAATGGAAACTTAAGATGCATAAGTAACTGAGCAGTTAATATAGCTGAGACTGGATGAAGGCAATTTGTAAGACCTGTAAAAAGCAGCAAATCAGCATACAACATAATAAAGGAGTTTACAATCAGATGTGAGAACTGAATGACATTAACGTGTGTAGTGAAATATGAAACCAATGTCTCTGTTAAGCCCTGGGGGTTCCATTGTTCTGAGTATTGTAATAATTTATAATTCAGCAATCTCCTTCTACTCTGTTTCTGAAGTTCCTTTGCAATAAAACAGCTACTTGGATGTCTCCCACTGAATGCCCTGGAAGGATTAAGTGTTCTCCTACAGGTTTCTCAGTTTTGTGATTCTTGATGTCAGATTTGTGTCCATTTATCCTTTGGCGTAGGGTTTGACCTGTTTGCCCTATGTAGAGAACTGAAGGGCATTGTGGGCATTTAATGTCATATACAATGTTAGAAGATGAGCAAGTGAATGAACCTGCGATGGTGTGGTTGATGTTCTTAGGTCCAGTGATTGCATTGTCTGTGTATATGTGGCAGCACAGGTGGCATGTGGTTTACTGCAAGCTCTGGTACCACTGTCTATGTTCAAATTAGATGTTGTACTATTGTGGGTGAGTTGTTTAAGATTAGGGGGGCTGTCTATGAGGAGGAGGAGAAGATTGGATTTATACCCCACCCTTCACTCGGAGTCTCAGAGAGACTTACAAACTCCTTTCCCTTCCCCTCCCCACAGCAGACACCCTGTGAGGTAGGTGGGGTTGAGAGAGCTCTCCCGAGAACTGCTCTTTTCAAGAACAGCTCTGACAGAACTATGACTTGCCCAAGGTCATCCAGCAGCTGCAAGTGGAGGAGTGGGAAATCAAACCTGGTTTGCCCCCAGTACATCATTATCTGGTAGAGGTTGTAAGTCACTGATGTGTTGAACTGTTTTGAGTTGAATGTTGTATGTAACCACTAGTGATGTTCTGTTATTGTCTCTTTTGGGCCTTTCTTGCAACAGGTTTTCCCTGCGCACCATTCCAGCTTTGTCAATCTGTTTCTTGACTTAGTCATGTGGATATTTTAGTTCCAAAAAGGTTTGTTGTAGATCTCTCAGGTGAGACTCCCTGTAGGATTGGAACAGATGCGGCTGTAACGTAGAGCCTGGTTGTATACAATGGACTGTTTGGTATGTTTAGGATTGCTTTGCCAGCCTCTGGTCAATGCAGAGGAGTATTTCTCTCTCAGTCTGACTCTTCAGCCCTCCATCAGATGCAGAAGCATGGCATGGGGACCCTTCCCCTGGGTTGTTGTGGCTTTCTAGGCTTTCTACAGATAAAACAAATCCCACAACTTGAGAGCCGCACTCCATACACGAATGATTAAGATATACATGTTCCAGACCTACACAGGAACCTTCCCATCTCTTAAACGGTAGCCACTAGGCATACAGCAACTGTAATACCCCTATTTTTCTCCCCACATTCTACAATTCACACAAGACAACAGAAGGAAGAGGACAGAAAAGGGAAAGCAAGCAAAATATAGGTACTCACTCTTAGGAGCTACTGAAACGTAGCTTCCCCATCAGTGCATCAAATGTATTTCTGCCTATCAAAATGCCGTTCAACGGCCTGTTCCTCCTCCTCCTCCCACCCCTCCGGTGCCAATAAGGCCGGGGGAAACCCCGCAATATAGAAGCCAGTGACAGCCTTAAGAGAGCCACTCTCAAAACTATTGACGGCTTTTTAAAAATGGGAAGATGTGAGTGCGGGGTGGAAGGCCGAGGAGACGACACTCAGATGCCCCGCCTCCTTCAACTGTTATTTCCGTCTCCATGGAAACTAACAGACACAGAACTGTCGTTTCGCGAGCTGCACCGGAACGGAATCTTAATCTCCCCTCCCCCGCCGCCGCACTCGTGGGCGCCCGTCACCTACATCCACGGGTTCACAGAATTCCAAATACCGCAGTCCTCCTTCTTTACCAGAGCCCAATTCGGTGCCAAGCGCAGCGTGCGACCCCGGAAGTAATCCTGCTTCTCTTTCCCCGCCTCTTTACAGAGTGGCACGTAACGGAAGCAAAGGGGTGCAATTTCCTTGTCATTCAGCCGCGCTGGTTAGGCGTAGATGCGAAGGGCGGGTGGTAGACGCCTGGGCCGTTTTATTTTGGGAGCGAGCCGGCCAGCTGTAGGAGCTGCTGGGGGAGGGCTGTGAAGCACGGCTTTGGTACAAATGAAAGTCGTGCTCAGCCATACTCTTTAATTTGAGAGCACATTTTGTCCAGCTTTCCAAGTGTCTGCGAAACGGAACTGTTTTAAGCGGGCTTTTACATTTGACCTTGATAACGCAGGCTGAGAAAGTACTGGGGCTTTTTAGTACATCTTGGGGATGTACTAAAACGAATGACAGGATGGCCCATTGGACACAATGGGAGATGCTGGAATGCCCGATGGCCAACAATGCCAATGAATGCCAATTGACCTGCATAGACTTCACTGAAAAACGTTATAGGACAGAAAAATTGCAATGAAAATGTGGAACAGATTTCGAGAAACCTGCCCTAAGCCTGGAAATTACAGCCTCCAGAGTGGGATGGCAGTTCTTGGGCCCAGATAGACTGCTCTGGGGCCAAAATGAGAGCTCCCAGAGTGGAATGATGGCTGGGGTGGGGTGGGGTGGTAGCATACCTGTTCTGCAGCTGGAATGACAGCCCAAAAGCTAGAATGATGGTCCCTGTAACCAGATAAACTCTAGGACTGGAGTGACGGCTCAGAGCAGAATGATGGCCCCTGTGTTTAAAATCACTGCCGTGCACCTGCAACCACAAATCTTGGAGTGGTATGAAATGCCTTGCATAATTACTGTTTCTGGGGGCTGTGTAGTTATTCCTCAATCAGCTCCACTTTAGTAGTTTTCCTGCCTGTCATCTGTTCTGCTTCCTTCCAGAGTCCACCACTTCGGGGAATTTCAGACAGGCGATATGTTCCATTTCAGGAACTGTTCATTAACAGTTTTTGTCTGTCATTTCAGACAGAACCATTTTAGTAACGGTTCCCTGACGGAATATATTTCCCCTTTCAGACAGAAACTCTTCTGTCCCATTCGGGAAGCATTCCTGAGCTGTTTTTACCTCAAACTGCTTCCAAGCGGTCTTCAATTCTACTGTTCTTGAAGCGCTACAGGGTACTGTATAAAATGCCCCATAGGGTTTCCTCCAGTGACAAGGTTTTCGTGCTCTTTTTTGCCCTCGAGGGCAATCTCTGTCTTTTTTAAAAAACGGTCTTTTAAGAGCGCTATAGTGCTGTAACACAACCCCAAAGCAGTGCAATAGCGACCCCATTGGGATGCCTGGACCACTGAGATACATGAGATCACTACATCTGGGGAGAACAGTGATTTCAATGGAGTACAATGTCATGGAGTCCTTCCACAGCATTCACTTTATACCTGGGAACTGATATCTGTAGGCAGGCGATAAGCTGTAACTCTGCAATGCTCTCTCTAAGCTGTGGAGTCCTGTGAGCAAAAATTCCACTTTGTGAGCTACTGCCATTAAAGTTGTGAGAAAATAATTTGGCTACTGCAGAAATTAGTTTGCTCTGGAGCCATCCTTCCTGAGCTAAGACAAAATCATGTGAGCCAGAGGCTAAAGAAATGTGTGCTAGCTCACACTAGCTGAGAGGGAACACTGGCTGAAAGTGCAGGGGATCCCCAGGTTCCACCTGGAGGCATGGCATCCCTATATGCTGGCCATCAAGAGGAGGATGCTGTTTGCAAGGCTGGAAGGAGCTAGTGTGGCTTGGAAAAGCGGGAGGGGGGATTGTACAGTCCTGCCACAGGTTTTGAGTTCCTGGAATTCTCCTTGGGTAAGATAGCTACTTGTAAAACGGAGGCTGGGAAAGAGGGGAACGAAAAGGCAGCCTGTTGTCCTGTACCTAAATACTGCGTGGGGTGGGGGGAAGCAGTTTGATTTAAGGTGCCTGAAGGAGAAAAGTTGAAGAGATCTTAAAATTCAAGGCAGCCTGAGAGTGCAGTCACGACGAGGGAAAGGGGGGGGGAACAGGACAGTTTACAAACCCAGACAGCACCCCTTCCTCATGTTCAGAAATCAAATCCAGAAGTTTGTCCATGCCTGAGCTTCCACTTGTTTCCAGGTGACAGATGTACTCATCTATCTCAATGGTCCAGGCATCCCAATGGGGTCGCTATTGCACTGCTTTAGGGTTGTGTTACAGCGCAGCTTAAAAGAACATTTAAAAAAAAAGATGGAGATCACCCACATGGGCGAAAAAGGGCGGGAAAACAAAGTGGCGCAGTCTGAAATGACAAACCACTTCAGAGACGGCTCCTTACCGGTAGGGGAAAGGATGTGTGAAATGGCCATCCCTGTACCGGTTTAGACGGTACAATAACAGATTTAAAAGGGTAATGTGAAATTCCCCTTCATTCTGCTGTGTCAACAAGTATACATTTTGCAAACTTCTGCCTTGTTTTTCTTCCTTAGAGGCCCCCCCCCCCAGTGTCCAGGTCCTTCCTATCCTCATGTTCCTGTTATAAGTCACAGCCTGCCTGAGCTCTATGGGCACTTTTGCCCACTGATCCACAGCACCCACCCCACAGTCTTTGTGGAAAACCCCACCTATGTGAACAGAAAATGCAACAGGTAATCTCTCTGAGTTCAATGAAACAACTGGTTGTTTCCTGCAACACTGTGTAGTGAGTTAAGTCCTATCAAATCCATTAAGGTGCAGGATTTTTTTCATCCACTTCTCCTTTCTAAAAGTTTCAACCAGATTGCATTCTGCATTTTGAAAGATACAGCCTTTATATAAGGTAATAAGTGCTCAGAAAATCTCATCATTACTCTTCCAACCTTGTGTCTGTGCAATGGAACAGTTGTGTTTTAAGAGGTCCCTGCCTCAGACCTTAATGATGTATGCTCAGAAAGTAATGGGGTTTTTGTCTTCTTTGCTAAACATTCCACATAGTTACTCCTGGCAGTTGTAACTTGGATTCTATTGGTTTGTAAATCCACTCTCAAATGTTACCAGAACTTAGACCCATTGCTAGTTGCTTAGATGAGTTTCAGTTATTGAGGTCTGGACAAACAAGTTGCTTTGAAATGTCTGCTTATCACCTCCTCACCTCCTAGTTGAACGCTTGCTCATCTTGCTGTTGGGGACAGACTGTGATTTACTATGAATTCTACTGTAGCTGAAGCTTAGTCATCGTTGTGAGGGTGCATATTATAAATTGAACAAATAAATAAATACACACACACACACACACACACACACTTAACCAACTGGTCACATATTTGCTTCAATAAAAGTCAGCCCTTCATCCACCTTAGATAATAAGATTTATGACTTTAGATTCATATAGTTTATATTTTATTTCCCAGTTTGTGCTGAAAATTGGTAGTTTAACTCAGACAAACAAAAATGCCTTGTTACTGAACCCTGGGGTTATTTAAATAGGGATTTTAAAGATATAAAATATCTGCAGGGCTGGCCCAAGGATTTTTGCCACCCTTGGCAATTGACTTTGTCCCACCACCATGCTGCAAGGAAGTTGCTACCACTCACAACATCCTCACTAGTGCCAGGGCTGTGGCTTGTGGTTGTGCCATGCCTGCCAACAGAGTCAAAACAGCCCTAGAGAGGGGCTACCTCCCCAACAGGATGGGAGGGAAGGAGAGGTTTATTGTGGCTCCTGCCTGGCTTGTACCCACATGCCTCACACAGCCATCTGTGGAGAAACTCTTGCTATTACTTTCCTTTACTTTGGTCTCACTAGAAGTTTCAAGAGACATTGGCTGGCAGTGCTTAATCTTTTCCTCCTTTCCTGGCAAAGTCTAACTCACTGTATGTTGTGATCTCTTTGTGGTCTATATTTTCTAACTCAGTAGTTCTCAACTAGTGGGGCACAGAAGTGGTACAGATGGGACACAGGGGTTTTCATAATAATTACTAAAAATTTGCTTTCCCTCAATCCGCATGTCTACCTGCAAGTATAATGTGCCATCTCCCACCAACTCTATTTGACACAAATGATCTCTCTGACCTTTTGGCATGCTAGTAGTAACCTCAGACAGTCAAGTTTCTCCTAATCCCTACCTCCTTTTCCCCAGTCCTCTTGCCACCAGAAAGTGTCTTTGATGTGCTACTTCCTGCCAGCCCTCCTCCTCTATCCCTTGCAGCCTTTCCTTGAGAAAAGGGCATCAAGTCATAGCCAATACCACACCTCAGTACGTTGCACAAATTGCATGGTAGCTAGTTTCCCAGTGGTCATTCCAGGACGGGAGGAAAGGGAGTAGGGATGAACAGGGCGGCCACGATAACCTGGAATGACCAATATTGTGGCTGCCTAGCAACCCTCGCAATGGCCACCAAGAAGGCATTCATTTCTTAAAGGTACAGGCACCACTTCTATTATTTTGGTGTTATAACTCAAATGTTTGTGTATTTAAAAAAAAAAAAAGATTACAGATTTTTCTACAAACCCAGGGCTTTTCTCAGGTTTGTCTGTTACAGCCCAAGTCTCTGGATTTAAGTATCCACAGATGTTGAGAATCCGATATATCGATGATACCTGTAAACATATATGTGTTATCTTGGAATAATGTGCTTTTTGTTTCTATTATGGTGGGACCCACATTATTTGACAGAATGACTGGTGGGGAATAAGGTACAAAAGGTTGAGAACCACTTCTCTTCCTGAAAGCTCACGATCAGTGATGTGGCTTAGGAAACATACAGTATGACAGTGTTATGTCAGGCACTGTATAAAAATTGTATGTTACAAGGAAGATAAATTAAAGGCAGCTCCCATGTCTTAGAATTTTCCCATTAGGCCCTTTAAATAATGCCAGCCATGTTTATCGAGCACCTGAAGTCTTTTCTTAACAAGAAAATGCTGAAGAAAACCAAACTACATCTGATGTTAAGAGTTCTGTGATTGAACTACAAATGTGATATTTTGCACTAAAAGCAGCTTTATGGGAGGAAT